AAGGTGTAATAATAGGCCGTTTGTAATATTTTGGCGTGATTTGCTTAGTTAGGACCCTTATTTACGTTGTGTTTGTTTAGTAACTTAGTTCTTTTAGGTGTCTTTTGGAAGAATGAATATTCGCTAGAGCAATTGAAAGCTGTTGGTAGTGCCTTATAAGCTAAGTGAACCCCGTTCACGAAGACAGGGCTCGAGAAAGGTTATGAACATAAAACGTCCCAATTCCACTTGTATCGGGTTTACATTATTAACTTAATATTATTTATCCCTTCCCGCTCGGAAAAGGCTCAAAATATATTTATACAAAATACCCGATACAAGGGCTTCGCTCTCCTACATTTATTTAAAAATGTAGGGGAGGCACACGGCCCCACACACGCCGTGCACGGTGAGCGCCAACCATTTTGATGCACTCCCTCCGTATGGAAAGCTAATTCGGGAACTGGACCGTAGTCCACAGTAAAATAAATGTCCACGGGAAAGCCGTATTGCTAGAACAAACCCGCTTACCACCGGCACTTAGATGTTAATTGTATACCTCCATCGACCAGAACCACAGGAATGCGTCGAATCAGGCGCAAGCACACCCGCAGATCCATCACAAGACGCAATACCGCAAGTAGCAGTAAGCATCAAAGCAACTATCATACGGGTGGCGCCCCCTCACAACACACCCACATGACTCCTATCGATTTAGGTAACAAAGTTTTTATTGTTGTTATATAAAAAATATCACCAACGTATAATAGTAGCACGCTACTAAGACGCCAATGAACAAAACTCCACGTATCATAGCGTTAATGCACTAAGACATGAAGTTGAGTATGCCTGCTACACTTAAAAAGTGCTACCAAACACACTCATCATCCCAATCCGAAAGATAGACGACACATCGCTATGCGCAACGACGTCGCCCACAAACGGTATGGGTGTGCGATGTCCACGGGAAAGCCGTATTGCTACAACAAACCCGCTTACCACCGGCACTAAGATGTTAATTGTATACCTCCATCGACCAGAACCACAAGAATGCGTCGAATCAGGCGCAGCACACCCGCAGATCCATCACAAGACGCAATACCGCAAGTAGCAGTAAGCATCAATGCAACTATCATACGGGTGGCGCCCCCTCACAACACACCCACATGATCCCTATCGACTTTGGTAACAAAGTTGGTATTGTTGTTATATAAAAAATATCACCAACGTATCATAGTAGCACGTTACTAAGACGCTAGTGAACATAACTCCACGTATCATAGCGCTAATGCACTAAGACATGAAGTTGAGTATGCCTGTTACACTTAAAAGTGCTCCCAAACACACTCATCATCCCAATCCCAAATATAGACGACGCATCGCTATGCGCTACGACGCCGCCCACAAACGGTATGGGTGTGCGATGTCCACGGGAAAGCCGTATTACTACAACAAACCCGCTTACCACCGGCACTAAGATGATATGTCTAGGACACATCGGTTAGCGAGTCCAAGTTTACCTCGGACCAATTGCTCGTGAAGCAGCACACACGCCACCATAATATTCCTTTTCAAGTCCCTAATAAGGACTAGTCATTTTGCTACAGTACTAGGAGCAGTCAGTCACCCGACTACCCCATACAATGCTTATGCATCAAGGAGACCTCCTGTAATATTGCTTTTGTATCATAGACCTTACTTTCATAAGTCATGTATATATAGGATTCGAACCCACGACCCTACTATTGTAATGCATATTAATCATAGAAACCTTCTATAGTATTGCTTTTGAATCATAGACCTTACTTTCTTAAGTCAATCATATATAGGATTCGTACCCACGACCCTACTATTGTAATGCATATTAATCATAGAGACCTTCTATAGTATTGCTTTTGGATCATAGACCTTACTTTCATAAGTCATTAATATATAGAGTTCGGACCCACGACCCTACTATTGTAATGTATATTAATCATAGAGACCTTCTATAGTATTGCTTTTGGATCATAGACCTTACTTTCATAAGTCATTAATATATAGAGTTCGAACCCACGACCCTACTATTGTAATGTATATTAATCATAGAGACCTTCTATAGTATTGCTTTTGGATCATAGACCTTACTTTCATAAGTCATTAATATATAGGGTTCGAACCCACGACCCTACTACTGTAATGCAAATTCATCGTGGAGACCTTCCTTAGTATTGCTTTTGTATCATTGAGTTTAATATCATAAGTCCCTAATATAGGACTAGTCATTGTGCTACAGTACTTCAGGCAGTCGGGCTCCCAACCACCCCATATATATGTACAACTGCAGGAATGTATCTCCGGCAGCTCCTCCATACAAGACATCTATACATGAACACCTTCATTAACTTAGGAAACTTTTCTTTTATACGTGAACTCCTTCCACAACTTAGGAAATTTCTTTTATACACGAACTCCTTCAACAACTTAGGAAAATTTTCTTTTATACATGAACTCCTTCCACGACTTAGACGATTTTCAACAAATTCTCTAATTACCTTATAAATTTTAATTATATTTAATTTTATAAAAATTTCGAATTGTATTTCTATTAATTATCATATTTTAAATATTTTTTCAAGTTTTTAATAAATTTATTTATTATGGAAAACAATATTTTGCCTTTAATTTACTATGTTATTGGTCTAATGTCTGAAATGTATTTATATTAACTTTATGGTTATTAATGTAATTTTATTGTTTAATATATATATATATATATATATATATATATATATATATATATATATATATATATCTTTTAAGACTATTTTTGACGCCCCTTTATATTGAATTTAATTATTAATAATAATATTGGGCCGTCACAATCCACCCCCAAATTTTATGTTAACGACCCACACAGTGGAGTCGTTGATATAAATTTTTTCTATATTGAGAGCATATGCACTACACTCAAAATTTTGAACTTATGTGTATCTGCTGGTACTGATGCTCGTACTGACCCAGGTTTTTAATTCTCTCTATTTAATTTAAATTATTACAAATATCACGCATGAACATTATTTGTTTTAATGAATTAATATAATAAAATACTTACATTAATAATTTTCCTAAAAATTTAAGTTAAATCTTGCTCATAACTTTCGATTATATAGAGATTAGATGGAACGTCATTTAATTAACTGGTGAGATCTTATAAAATGTTACTGGATGAGTATTTTCATTTCCAATTTCAGCTTTTCTATTGTCACATTATGTATGTTATATAAAATATTTCGTCTAGGATCAGTGACATGTGAGGTACTCGTCCCGTACACCTCTTCTTGGTTTACTTTAATTTGGTGAACTTTCGTTTGGTTAATAAACTTTTCTTCGAGAAATTATTTTAACCTCAAAGGTTTTCACTGCATTTTTAATTAATTTTTGAAGCATGTTAACACGTTCATGCACGCATACCATAATAGTCAACTTATATGCCGTGGCGCATGATTACTCCATACAAAGTTTGAGGACGTCCATACTCGTATCGCCGTATCACAAACAAAATATTGCATATGACTTGTCGGTAACGTCAGTAGGCGTTGACGTTCAAGGACGCACCGGTATATTGCTAAAATTATTATCCATCAAAGGGGCAACAACGTTTAGGTACGTCTACGTTACCAGCCGTTCTGTTCCGATTTGTGGGTATTTTAGACCTTACAGATTACAAGAACGTCGTTAAACGTCAATGTCGGTACACGTTCTGCTTTCATCTCTAGACAAGATCCCTACACTATATTCAACAACGTTTAATAACGTCAACGTTGGGACACGTTCTGCTTTAATCTCTAGTCAAGATTTCTACACTATATTGAACAACGTTTAACAACGTTAACGTTGGGACACGTTCTGCTATAATCTCTAGACAAGATTTCTACACTATATTGAACAACGTTTAACAACGTCAACGTTGGGACACGTTCTGCTTTAATCTCTAGACAAGATTTCTACACTATATTGAACAACGTTAAACAACGTCAACGTTTACAGCCGTTCTGTTACTAGTTGTCAAATATTGATACCATGATAAGAAAGCAGCGTCAATGCACGTTGACGTTCATAACTGTTGTTCCACAAATATCTAGTAGAACTTAAAGTTTTGGGAAACAACGTTTAATTACTCCAACGTTACTTGACGGTCTGATCATAAATCGACTATACGAGCAAATTATCTGTCGCTCATCGTTTCCTGACGTTGACTTTGATTTATAAAAATAAAATAATAAACAGGATTTGATATGGAATAATACTCAATAATCATCAGTTTTTTGTTATATATTTTTAGAAAATCAACTATTTTTCAAAAATTACCTACATATCACATTTTGTGTCAATATCTACCCTCTTCTTGACTTAATTGAAAATAATTTAGGTGCAATTGTCCATAAATTTCTTCCAAGTTTTAGTTTAATAAAATTTACTTTTACTTCCTATCCTATGTGTGAGTAACTTTTTCAAATTTTACGCTATTATCACATATCGATCAAATAATACTATGGTAAGTTTGGTTTATCCCATAGAAGTAACGAATTATTTCTCAAAATAAACAGTTTCTCACTACTATCTTATCAATAAATTACCACTATAGCACAATAACAATCAGTCTTACACAGTTTTGGTATAACACTAGTAGCAAAAAATTATAAAAATTATAAATACTCACTTACTTTTACCTACCTATCATATGAATGAGTAACCTTTTAACATTTTACGCTACTATCACAAAATCAAATAATACTCTGGTAAGTTAGGTATTTTCTATAAAAGTAACAAATTATTTCACAAAATTAACAGTTGCCTGCATCTATCTTATCAATAGATTACCAGTATAGCACAATAATATTCAGTCTAACACAGTTAAGCAGATTTAGTATAACAATCGTAGCAATAAATTATAAAAATTCTAAATACTCATATGCATGATACAGTTATACTTATTTGATATCACTCTCATAAAAAGGAACAAAATAGGTAAAAAAGCATTATACTTCTTTGTGCCACTCTTCGAAGCAAAGAGCACACAGTGCTGGCTTTTCAGGGCAACCTTTACATCTCAGGCAAGTCTCCCTTCTCACCTTTTTTTTCGTGCACATCTTGCATTTCAAGTACTTTGATGTTTTGTTTGAACCCTCTTGCACGGGTATTTTCTCAGGCCAGTGACCATGGACTCTTGAGCTTCCGACGTCGTCGTCAATGGTACTGACTGGAAGTGGCAATAAATTAGCTCTGATTCTGTTGTCATATTTGCTGCGAGCTAAAATCACTTGCTCTGCTGTTAAATCTGCTGGTAAGTCCAACAGTCTTCGAATCAATTCCTCTCGGAAAAGCAAGAAATCACAATTGGCTTGGCAGTATTTTTTGAAAATAAAAAATGAGTTCCATACTGCGACATCCAACAAGTGGAACATCACTTTTTTATACCACCGGATTGTTTTCCTTGGTGAGGAGTAATATGAGATCATTTGATCTGCTCTATCAACTCCGGACATGTGTTGATTGTATTCTGCCACTTCTGCGGGTTTAATTTTTCTTTGTTGAAATCTGTTTTGTATTTCTATAAGCCGAGGATGAACTGAAGTTGTTACCATAAGAACTGGTCGCTTGTCAACCCATTTTGAAACATAGACCTTATTTTTTCGTACCCACACATGTTGATTCTTCTTGAGTTTTTTCTTAATGATGTCTTTGGGATTATCTTTTCTGTTTGAACGTAAGGTACCTGTGGTGTGAGTTTTTAAGTCAACTAGCTTTTGCGAAAGTGTTACGGAATTGTAATAATTATCCATGTATAATTGATGTCCCTTCAGCAAATATGGTCTCATGAGACGAAGGACGATCTTTTCAGATTTTTTTGCCAGTTCCAGCAGTTGTGTCTTTTCCGGAGTACATCATTATATTTAAAACATAGCCATCAGAAGTTGTCAACTCGAAGAATTTGATTCCGTAACGTACTTTTTTGCTCTTTATATATTGTCTGAAGGCAAGGCGGCCTCTAAATAAAAGCAAAGATTCATCCAAACTTAACTGTTTGTATGGCTTATAGCACTCCATGAAGCTCTTGGTAATAGCATTAATAAATTTTTCAATTTTATCTTTTCCTTTTGAATCTAAATCTGATACATAAATACATCTCAAGATTTGCTCAAATCTTCGAGCGGACATCACATAGTGCAAACTTGGGTGATAATACAGTGGGTCGGAATACGTAAAATTTTTGCGTTTTTGAGGAATTTTGATTTGACCCATAAGCAAACATAATCCAAAAAATTTCAAGATTTCTTCCCGGTTTGTGTCCCTAAAGTTATAGCTACGTGAGTTTCGAGTAGTAGGTCTTGTTGTCTCGCATAGTGCTCGCCCGTACGTATTAATACATGTTACAATATAGTCTACAATATTAGGATTAAGAATTTTATCAAATATTTCCATAACTGTCATAGCTGGGTTGACTTCAAACTGGACACCTGCTGAACTTTCATCAAACTCGAACGAAGGTATGTCTGTGTTCGTGTGTTCCAAATCATAATTTATCAGTGGAGGAGTGCTTGGTCTGCAATTGGTCGCTGGACTTATCTCGGGGAGTGTGTCAGGCACGGAGTTTCTTTCGGCGGCCTCTGGGTCCAGCACATGACAGATAGAAGGATTGCGTTGTACAAATGCTTCCCGATCCAAAGCAGATGGACTGGTAGGCGCAGAATTCGTTTCGGCAGCATCTCGTTCTGGCACAGGAGAGCCGGACAAGCCACGCTCTGCAACTACCTCCAGTGCAAGTGTGCTGGCCGGAGTTGGATATCTTACAGTAGCGTTTAGTTCTGGTGGTGCAGAAGAGCTAGGTGAGCGGCACTGCGTAGTTGCGTCCAAGTCCAGGGCAGGAAGGTTGGCTGGCGAGGGATTTTCCTCAGCAGCCTCCCGATCTGATGCAGACGAGCTAGGAGAGCGGCACTGCGTAGCTGCGTCCAGGTCCAGAGCAGGTAGGTTGGAAGGCGTGGGATTTTCCTCAGCAGCCGTTGGATCCGATACAGGAGAGCCAGGAGTGCGGCGCTGCTCAACTGCGTCCAGATCCAGGGCCGATAAGTTGGCAGGCGCGGGATTTCTTTCAGCAGCTGCTGGATCCGGTGCAGGAGAGCCAGGAGAGCAGCGCTGCGCAGTTGCGTCCAGGTACAGGGCAGATAATTTGACAGGCGCGGGATTTCCCTCAACAGCCTCCCGATTCAGTGCAGGAGAGCTAGGGAGAGCGCTGCTGCGCAGCTGCATCTAGGTCCAATGCAGGTAGGTTGTCATGCGCGGGATTTCCCTCAGCAGCTGCTGGATCCGGTGCAGGAGAACCAGGAGAGTGGCGCTGCGCAGCTGCGTCTAGGTACAGCGCAGGTAGGTTGTCAAGCGCGGGATTTCTCTCAGCAGCTGCTGAATCCGGTGCAGGAGAGCCAGGATAGCGGCGCTGTGCAGCTGCATCCAGGTACAGGGCAGATACGTTGATAGGCGCGGGATTTCCCTCAACAGCCTCCCGATCCAGTGCAGGAGAGCTAGGAGAGCGGTGCTGCGCAGCTACATCCAGGTCCAAGGCAGGTAGGTTGTCATGCGCGGGATTTCCCTCAGCAGCTGCTGGATCCGGTGCAGGAGAACCAGGAGAGTGGCGCTGCGCAGCTGCGTCTAGTTCCAGTGCACGTAGGTTGGCAGGCGCGGGATTAACCTCAGCAGCTGCAGCAGCATGGTCGTCTTCAGCACCTTGAATTTGTGGATTAGTATGGGAGTGACTTCCTTCGATATGTGAATAAATTGAGATATTTTCTAATACTGCAGGATCGAGTTGCACTGAAGAGCTTTCAAGATTTTCTATATTATTTAGCAATGCCTCAGGGTCTAACGACATAGTGTCGGTACTCTGATCTGCACTGGCGATCTTAGGTTTTTTGTATCTTGATCCTAAAGGGGAACTCTGCCCTTTCTTTTTTCTCTTTCTACTGTCAAAAATACTCTCATCACTAGATTCTGCCGATATTGAATTTGTATCATCCTCGTTGTCATCGCTATCACATACATCCGTGCACTCGCTAAAGCCTTCGGTTCGATCGTCAGAATCAGAGCTGCTACTTACACTGCTTTCAGAGTTGCGTTTACCATGTGACCTCGTTGCGTTGTCCTTGGAACGTTTCTTTAATTGTTTCTTTTCACGTTGCTTTGTGTGATCACTAACAGTGCTAGTGCTGTCTGTATTATCATCATAACCTGGATCATAGTCGTTATCGGAACCATACTCTCCATTATCACTAAACGGGTCTGGTGTAGATTGCCTTGATGAAGAATCATATTGAAACAACTTCATGGAAGCATTATTACTAATTTGGCGTGATTTTTCCACCTACAACAAAAAACATAGCTATCATCTTATTCAGGACACAAAATTAGAACATATGCGTACATTTGAGATTTTTTTCAGAAAAAAACTAAAAATATAACTTACGGAATGAGTTTTCCTTGATATCCCACTTGGTCCAGCTTCACATTTTTCTTTGCAACCTACTTCAATTACTTTTTTCTTAGATGGCTTCTTCTGGCCTCTTTTTCTATTTCCCATCTATAAAATTCAAAAATTGCAGCATATATACTATAATGCACTCATAACAACTATCACCATATCCTACAAAACTATAGAAAACGAAAAAATAACTTACGATTACTTTCTCAAATGCACGGCCTGCGAGGGTTTTGTAGCGTAAAACGTGGGTCACTGTACCGGCGCGCAAGCAGACTGGCAGTATGGCGACTCTAACCAAAAACGACGTTTGTCGACGTTGTTCATATGTGTGTAGGTACCTATCAATGTGTGTGTGACTTATGTTCAAGTAAGAAAAAATCTAATGTATTGTAGCGCTAGAACTTTCAAAATTTCACACGATGCGGCGCAATGACGTAGCTACCTAAAGATTATACAGAGATTTGACGTTACTAGCCGTTGTGCTTGGAAATTAAAATTTTCTTAGGACGTGATTAGACTATGTGCGTCATCGCGAAGACATCAAATTGGACGTTCTGTGACGTTGTTAGAACGAAAGTGTTAAATTCATTTTTAGGCTTAGCCTTCACCAAGTTAGAACTTTTCTTTGTTTTAACCATTTTATATTTATATACTTTTATCAGTTTTTAGCACTGTTATGTCCTTCACTTACACAAATGTTACTGCTTCTTCTCATTTATTTCACTTTATATTTTATTTCGCATTAACTATGCACACACCTTTTATAACAAAAAAATCAATATTAATATTAAAGCCCCACCCCCAGACTCTCAACCACCCCCAGCAAACACCATCCTCCAAGACACCTTTCCATTTCACGGACAACAAATTGTAGGCATAACACCTACTTCATAATTCTAATATAGACGACCTTTTTTTTTAAATATATCCTGGTCACGGCACCAAATTGTAACGCTTCACCCCTCTCATAATAATAAATATATAAATACTAAATGTATTATATTCCCCTTTATATTAAAAATTATATATATGTGACCAGGATTAATAAATTATGTTTAGATCTTTCTAAAGGTTTAATAATAGGCCGTTTGTAATATTTTGGCGTGATCGACTTAGTTAGGACCCTTATTTACGTTGTGTTTGTTTAGTAACTTAGTTCTTTTAGGTGTCTTTTGGAAGAATGAATATTCGCTAGAGCAATTGAAAGCTGTTGGTAGTGCCTTATAAGCTAAGTGAACCCCGAAGACAGGGCTCGAGAAAGGTTAAGAACATAAAACGTCCCAATTCCACTTGCATCAGGTTTACATTATTAACTTAATATTATTTATCCCTTCCCGCTCGGAAAAGGCTCAAAATATATTTATACAAAATACCCGATACAAGGGCTTCGCTCTCCTACATTTATTTAAAAATGTAGGGGGAGGCACACGGCCCCACACACGCCGTGCACGGTGAGCGCCAACCATTTTGATGCACTCCCCCCGTAGGGAAAGCTAATTCGGGAACTGGACCGTAGTCCACAGCAAAATAACTGGTGAACCAGTAAAAGAAGCTTGGCCCCTTGCTAGTGCGTAAGCACAAACATCGACCGAAGTCGCGCATGTCAATGCGTGTAAACGCCAAACAGAATACGAACGAATCCAGCCACAGTGAATGTACGTCACACGGTTTAGACAAATAGGCACACTGGCCGTAAACCCTCCGTGAGCGCCACCACCTGCCAGACCGCCGCTCCTGCAGACGTGATGTAAGTGTATGGCATCACCACCAATTGCATGATCAGCACGGCTACTAGCCGCAGAGCGTGTCATGAGTCTACCGCTCACCTCAAGGGAATGGGGTCCCACGTTGTACGGCTTTCGGCCGCAGCCTTGAGAGTCTCCTCAGATCCTCCCGCCAGCTACCACCCGCATGAGGTCGACACATATACTCCACCAACCAATACAACGGCAGATATAGCCAAAAGGCAGTTATGAGATAAGAGTAATAATTCGCCATCAGAAAGGGTTTGTGTCACTGACGTTGAGTAAATGCATTTTCGATCATGTTTGTCTCACCCACCAACAAGTAGCCTTCAATCATTCAAAGGTGGGAAAGTTACAGAGATATAATATTATGTTGTTATATAAAACATAGTGGAGGGCAGACAGTCTGCAGCCCCGCAATGAAGGGACCCGACTTGGGCAAAGCTACTTAGGTGTGAGTCAAACGACTATCGTCGGGCTTACACCATCCCAAGGTCCCCCATACATCCCAGCAGACATCAACACCTGCATACCTCCATCGACCAGAACCACAAGAGTGCGTCGAATCAGGCGCAGCACACCCGCAGATCCATCACAAGACGCATTACCGCAAGTAGCAGTAAGCATCAATGCAACTATCATACGGATGGCGCCCCCCTCACAATACACCCACATGACCCCTATCGATTTTGGTAACAAAGTTTTTATTGTTGTTATATAAAAATATCACCAACGTATCATAGTAGCACGCTACTAAGACGCCAATGAACAAAACTCCACGTATCATAGCGCTAATGCACTAAGACATGAAGTTGAGTATGCCTGTTACACTTAAAAGTGCTACCAAACACACTCATCATCCCAATCCGAAAGATAGACGACACATCGCTATGCGCAACGACGTCGCCCACAAATGGTATGGGTGTGCGATGTCCACGGGAAAGCCGTATTGCTACAACAAACCCGCTTACCTCCGGCACTTAGATGTTAATTGTATACCTCCATCGACCAGAACCACAGGAATGCGTCGAATCAGGCGCAGCACACCCGCAGATCCATCACAAGACGCAATACCGCAAGTAGCAGTAAGCATCAAAGCAACTATCATACGGGTGGCGCCCCCCTCACAACACACCCACATGACTCCTATCGATTTTGGTAACAAAGTTTTTATTGTTGTTATATAAAAAATATCACCAACGTATAATAGTAGCACGCTACTAAGACGCCAATGAACAAAACTCCACGTATCATAGCCTTAATGCACTAAGACATGAAGTTGAGTATGCCTGCTACACTTAAAAGTGCTACCAAACACACTCATCATCCCAATCCGAAAGATAGACGACACATCGCTATGCGCAACGACGTCGCCCACAAATGGTATGGGTGTGCGATGTCCACGGGAAAGCCGTATTGCTACAACAAACCCGCTTACCTCCGGCACTTAGATGTTAATTGTATACCTCCATCGACCAGAACCACAGGAATGCGTCGAATCAGGCGCAGCACACCCGCAGATCCATCACAAGACGCAATACCGCAAGTAGCAGTAAGCATCAAAGCAACTATCATACGGGTGGCGCCCCCTCACAAGACACCCACATGACTCCTATCGATTTTGGTAACAAAGTTTTTATTGTTGTTATATAAAAAATATCACCAACGTATAATAGTAGCACGCTACTAAGACGCCAATGAACAAAACTCCACGTATCATAGCCTTAATGCACTAAGACATGAAGTTGAGTATGCCTGCTACACTTAAAAGTGCTACCAAACACACTCATCATCCCAATCCGAAAGATAGACGACACATCGCTATGCGCAACGACGTCGCCCACAAACGGTATGGGTGTGCGATGTCCACGGGAAAGCCGTATTGCTACAACAAACCCGCTTACCACCGGCACTTAGATGTTAATTGTATACCTCCATCGACCAGAACCACAAGAATGCGTCGAATCAGGCGCAGCACACCCGCAGATCCATCACAAGACGCAATACCGCAAGTAGCAGTAAGCATCAATGCAACTATCATACGGGTGGCGCCCCCTCACAACACACCCACATGATCCCTATCGACTTTGGTAACAAAGTTGGTATTGTTGTTATATAAAAAATATCACCAACGTATCATAGTAGCACGTTACTAAGACGCTAGTGAACAAAACTCCACGTATCATAGCGCTAATGCTAATATAAATTATTAATAATAATATTGGGCCGTCACATTAGGTTAACATCAAGAGAGGACTGTCGAAACCACTTCGCATTTTTTTATTGAAAGTCCCAAATTACCTACATGATGACAACAAGTTATCGAACAAAATAGCACATATATGTTACAATTAAATGTAATGAAACTTTAAAAAAATGTCTTGAATTTGTACCTAAAATTTTGCGAATGCTTGCTTACAACTCATAATTTTTTCATTCCTCATTTTGTGCTCAGTTTGTCCAATTATAGAACCCGCTTCCTTTAACAATTAAGGAAGCCCGAAACATTGTCTTTCAAAAATATTGGTAAAAATTACTATTTATATATATATATATATATATATATATATAATCGGGATCTCGGAAACGGCTCCAACGATTTTCGTAAAATTTAGTGTCCAGAGAGTTTCGGGGATAATAAATCGATCTAGCTAGGATTTATTTTTAGAAAATGTCTTTTTATCCGTGTTTTTAGGCAATGAAAAACTGCTACAATATCGTTAGAATAAGAAGGTAAATTTTGACGAATTGTTAGTGCTTTTAAATAGCTTAATTGGTATGATGGTCGGTCACAGAATCGTAAAACCCCGGTTCGAGCTCAGACGGACCGACCGACTTGTTTTAACTTTTTTTTCATGTTCCTTTCTTTTTTGAGAAAATCTATTTTTTCGAGCCCTTTTTTAGTAATATTAGTCCAGTTTAGTAAGAATAGTCCTGTCCGTGATGATGGCCCGGTCCCAGTAGAGCCAGGCGCAATCATTTTCGAGTATGGCTTCCGGCAAGTACTTATTGAGTCAGTTTCCGATCCATGAGACCGTGTTTCAGAGCGAGCTCCTGGTATAGAATCCTAGTTACTAGGTTGTGCCTGTGCAAATACTCAGA